ACTGTACTCCATAGCTCAAGTGTACAAAGTCAAGAAATATTAAAATACTTAAGGAAAGTTCCTATCAACAGAGGGAATTCTATACTGTACTCAGAATACGGAGGACCCTACCTGTTTTCTTTGCTGGGCTGAATCTCCGTAGGGGTAGGAACCATGCCTAACATAAGCAATCTATAAACGTTTCCCGAGCATGTGGATGCCTAAAGAATGATACTTGTTTGTACTTTAAACACGTTTCCTTGTCTTGCGGGCCATATTTGAGAAACAGAACAAGATCTACTATACAATAAAATGTATAACTTAATCAAGACAGACTTTGAATATATAATAATCAAAGACAATTATACTTGGACACTAAAGAGCATAATTAAAGATCAACACTAACTGCTATGGTCTGAACGTTTGTGTCCCCCAATAATTCATATGTTGAAATCCTAACACCCAAAGATGATGGTATTAGGAGGTGGGGGGGTCTTTGGGAGGTGCTTAGGTCATGAGGGTGAAGTTTTCATGAATGGGCTTAGTGTTCTTACAAAAGAGACCCCACAGAGATCTCTTGCCCCTTCCACCACGTGAGGACACAGTAAGAACGCACCAGCTATGAACCAGGAAGAGGGCCTTTACCAGAAGGCAACCATGCTGGCACCCTGATCGTGGACTTCTCAGCCTCCAGAACTGTGAGAGATAAATATACAAGCCACCCAGTCTATGGTATTGTTATAGCATCCTGAACAGACCAAGACACGAATGACCAAAGGGATGTAAGCACTGGACATCAACAGGGCCAACATGACAAACAGAAAGACAAGCAGACACGATGCCTCCCAATGGAAGAACACAGCACTAACCTATGAAGCAGTCCTGCCTAAAGAATCAAATCTGAACATGGTCAAACCTCTAGATCCAGTTACCAATTTACAGAAAATACAACAGACAGATGAACATATGAAACCACAGCACAAGGAAATAATCAGCAAAATCCAGTATGGGGGCAGAAGTGAGATTCTCTAGATTACAAGAGACTTAAGGGGCCGTCCCCATGGCTTAGCGGTTAAGTGCGCGTGCTCTGCTGCTGGCGGCCCGGGTTAGGATCCTAAGCGCGCACCCATGCACCGCTTGTCAGGCCATGCTGTGGCAGTGTCCCACATAAAGTGGAGGAGGATAGGCACAGATGTTAGCCCAGAGCCAGTCTTCCTTAGCAAAAGGAGGAGGATTGGCATGGATGTTAGCTCAGGGCTGATCTTCACACACACAAAATTAAAAAAAAAAAAGAGAGAGACTTAAGAGGCATAGTAACCAATGGTAATGTGAGGACACTATTTAGATTCTGGTTAAAAAAATTTTTTAAATCCATTTATGACCAATGGAAATTTGAACCTGATTTTGATAAAGATTAACATTACTATTTTTTTGTTATAATGGTATTATAGTTATGTTTTTAAAAGGGTCCTTATTTCTTATAGGTACATACTGAAATACTTATGGATCAAATGATAATGATGCCTTTGATTCGCTCTAAAATAATATGAGAAGACAATGACAAATGCTGGCAACAACGTATAGAAAGAGGAACACTTATAATTGCTAGTGGGAATGTAAAATTGTATAGTCACTTTAGAAAGTAGTTTGGCAGTTTGTTTGTTTGTTTTTTTGCTGAGGAAGATCAGCCCTGAGCTAACATCTGTTGCCAATCCTCCTCTTTTTGCTGAGGAAGATTGGCCCTGAGCTAACAGCTGTGCCCATCTTCCTTCATTTTTGTATGTGATACACCTGCCACAGCATAGCCCGATAAGCTGTGTGAAGGTACATGCCCCAGATCCAAACCCACAAACCCTGGGCCGCTGAAGTAGAGCGCACAAACCCAACTACTACACCACTAGGCCGGCCCCAGTTTGGCAGTTTCGTAAAAAGTTAAATAGAAATCCACCATATGACCCAGCACTACTACTCCACTTCTAGGGTATCACCCCCAAAAATGAAACATATGTCCCCACAAAGACTTGCACATGAATGTTTGTAGACGCACTATTTACAATGGCTAAAAAAAGAAACAACCCAAATGTCCATCAACTGGTGAATGGCTAAGCAAAAGGTGGTATATCCATATAATGGAATAGTATTCAGCAATTAAAAGGAATGAATTTCTAATATATGGCATTAATACATGGTTTTGATGAATCTCAAAAACATAAGTAAAAGAAGCCAGACACAAAAAACCACATACTGTGTGATTCCATTTATACGAAATATCCAGAAAGGGCAAATCTATGGGGAGAGAAAGTAGATTAGCAGTTGCCAGGGGCTGGGGGTGGAAATGGGAATTGACTGTAAACCAGCACAATGGATCTTACACAGGTGATGGAAACGTTCTATGACTGCATTGTGGCAACAGTTGCACAACTCAGTAAATTTACAAACAATCATTGAATTGTACACTTAAAATGGGCGAATTTTACGGTATGTGAACTATACCTCAATAAAGCTGTTTTAACAAGGTAAAGAATTTTTTTTTTTTAATTTTTATTTATTTATTTCCCCCAAAGCCCCAGTAGATAGTTGTACGTCATAGTTGCACATCCTTCTAGTTGCTGTATGTGGGACGCGGCCTCAGCATGGCTGGAGAAGTGGTGCGTCGGTGCGCGCCCGGGATCCGAACCCAGGCCGCCAGCAGCAGAGCGCGCGCACTTAACCGCTAAGCCACGGGGCCGGCCCAAACAAGGTAAAGAATTTAGAGACAGATCAAAAGAGAAGGAATTTGAGAAGACTAAGAAAATCAGAAGAGTGATGGAAAACATAACATAGAATAAGAAAAGTGAATGAAAAATGAAAGGACTTGTTTCTAATTTTAAAAAAGTAAAGAATGTGAAAGAGAAGTGATGTGTGTGGGGATGGGACAGAATTAACCACTGGTTAATGGTTATTGAGGCTGGGTGACAGATACATGGGAGTTTATTACACTATCCTGTCTACTTTGGTATATGTTTGAAATTCTCCATGATAAAAAGTTTTTTAAAAGATCAATGCATATTTCTGGTACTCAGTGACCTCTTCATGTTATTCTTGCTAGTCTGGGTCTATAACCTGATCAAATATCCTATTTCTCTTAGTCTCAAGCAAAACAAGAGATCTAACGTTGCTGCTCTGACAAGCTCTCTTTCGGTGATTTCCACATCCTTGGGTAAGAAGTTAGAACGTTTAAGAAAGGGGCCAACCCAGCCTGGTGGTGCAGCGGTTAAGTGCGCGCGCTCCACTTTGTCGGCCCAGGGTTTGCCAGTTCAGACCCCGGGTGCGCAGTGATGCACCGCTTGTCAAGCCATGCTGTGACGGAGTGCCATATAAAGTAGAGGAAGATGGGCACAGATGTTAGCCCAGGACCAAGCTTCCTCAGCAAAAAAGAGGAGGATCAGCATCGGATGTTAGCTCAGGGCTGATCTTGCTCACCAAAAAAAAAAAAAAAAAAGAATGTTTAAGACAAAAGAAACAATTACAGTATTGATTATGGAATTGGCACTTCAGTACTTATCAAACATGTGACAAAGATGAAAAACATTAAGTAATTTAGCACAACAGAGAGAAATCAATCACCAGAATTACATCAACTCAGTTTGCTTCTACCACTGAAATTAGTATACTTTTTCATTTATACCAGTACCATCAGTATTTACCTAATGATGCCAGCCACTTGACATTTTAATTCTAGAAATGTGCAGAGAGCACTGTACTGGGAGCCAAGAGACGTGGTCCAGTGTGTCCTACTATTAGCTTAGTCTCTAATTTATAAGCTATATGAACTCAGTTACATAACTTAACCTAAGACTCAGGATCTTATATTATAAAATGAAAGAATTTTAAAGATCAGGAGTTCGTAACTTGGAGTCATAAGCCTGGGGGCTAGGGTCTATGGATAAGTTTCAGCAGCATTATAAAGCCCTAGAAATTCCAAGTTTTGTCCACATTTCTACCTGCACTTTTTGGGGTAGACGTTCCATAGCTTTTAGCAGATTCCCAAAAGGAGCCAACACTCACCTAGCTCCCTGTGCTTGAGAACCATTTTAATCAGGTCATTTTTATTTACAAACAACTGATACCCAAAAGTATGGTGCACGGGTGTGGCCAGGCTTTTCAATCCAGGTTCTGTATTCTTTAAGCTCTACTTTTACAAAATACAATGTTTCATGGTTTGTTAAAGTACTGTGTTTTAATAAGACAAATTTTCTGCAACCCCACAACTTCTTAGAAAATGGTATACCGTGAAAATAATGTACAAGGCTTCGGGTCAGAACGATTTATTTTTCCATTCCCCAGATACATTAACCTGCTGAACCGCCTGGAGGCACGTTTTAGCCTTAGACGACTTTTAGTTTTGAGTTATAATGCAAGATCGAAAGGATCATACTAGGCCTATCATAAATCTCTTCTCTAGACAGACAATGACAGGCGCGAGGGAGAAAACTGCAGGCCCTCTAATTAGAAACACATTTTTAATGCTGGTTTTAAGTTCTCGGTCATGTATTCCAAGCGAGCTTTGAAATTCCTCCTGGAGAGTCCCGCTTTGCTCAGTCCAGACAGCGCCCTACACTGAAATGGGAAACTGAGGCGAAGGCTGCGCGTACCTTCAAGCGGCACAAGGGGATGGAAGAGGGGAGACCGCGGACAAGCGAAGCCCAGGATAAAAGCTGGAGGCGAGAAGGGAGAAGGAACAGCAGGTTGCCATCAGCAAGGAACCTAGGGAAGCCCGCAGGGATTGCAGGCTGGGCCTCCCGACTCCTTCGGGGTTACACCGCAGTTCAGCCCCTGCCCCTCTCTCAACTCGAATCTTCCTGCCCCCAGACGGCCCGAGGACCCCCGCCCAGTCCCTCAGTTCCCAACAGACGTCTCCCAGCGAGAAGCCACGCCCGCGGGGGCAAGTAATGGGGCCCAATCGCTCCGAGGCCCCTCCTGGGCCAAAGTTGCCCCAAGCCCCGAGCAGCCTCGGCCTCCGCCCCCCGGCCCGGCCCTACCCTGAGCGCCAGGTGGTGGACGCGGCCCAGGCCGGGCTCGGCCAGCAGCTGCAGCAGCCCCAGGAGCGGGAGCAGCCGGAGGCCAGCGGCCAGCCGAGGCCAGCGGGAGCCCGCCAGGCCGACAAGCACCAGGGCGGCCATGTTTGCTCCAGCATCACCAGCTGCTTCCTCTCCCGCCCACTTCCGGGGTCAAAGGGCGGTGGCGCCGGAAGGGCCTGGGAGGGGGCTTGGCGGCCAGCGGCGAGGAGACTGCGGCGCTTCTGGTGGAGCGTGCGGCCCGGGAAGTCGCCGAGGCGCCTACGCTGGCCGCGGAGGGGCCGTGCAGTTGGCCGCCCCCGTGCGGACTTCCGTTTAGCCCCCAGAGGGGACCCGGTGGTGGCTGCCGTGGCAACCTTCCTGGGCAGGGCCAGCCGGGACCTCACCTCCGCCCGCCGAGCTTGGAAAGAGACCGCGGGCCTGCGGGACCCCGACCCCACGGGGCCCCCGGCTCTGCGGGTGGGATGTCTCACGCTGTGGCTGCAGCGCCGTGCCTGGCCGCCGATTGGACTGATTTCTCGAGCGGCGGTGACTTGGTGGAAAATACCAAGTTCACGGCTTGTCATAGGTCCTTTGGTTTTTGGGGGGCATTTCATACTAAAATTTCAGACGAAATGGATGTAGTAATACGATTTATTGAGCCCTTAGCAGGCACTTCGTTAGGCCTTTTGTGTGCGTTATTGCATTTAATCCCTGGCACATTCTGATGAGGTAGGAGGTAGGTATTATCATTACCCCCACTTGACAGGTAAGCAGACTGAGGCTCTAAGTCATTTGTTCCAGGTTGAGCTGGGAATCGCATGGAAACTTCTAAATACTGTGTTATATAGCTTCGTGCTATTTCATCCGACCACTAGAGTATGAATCAGGTAATTCTGTTTGGAAACTTTGCTTCTAATCTTTGGAATTTATAGGGAGATCTTTAATGGAGGCATTCCTTGCACTATACCATACATGGCTTTCTAATTTTTATAATTTTAATTTTTCAAAAAATTCCATTATCTTCAAAATTTTTTTCAAAAAATTAAAATCCCAGAATCTGGGTAACCAATGTGTTATTAAATGACATGCAAAAGAAATTTTCAGAAAGCATTTTAAAAATCAGCAATATGAAAGAACATAGTAAGAATGTAAAATAAATGATGTTTTCTTTTAGGTAGCAAAAGGAAATACCGCAGAGAGTTAACTGATTCTTACTTCAGAATGAAACTAGTTGTTAAAGGGAAGGTGATTTTTAAGTGCAGTTTCGTTTTTAAAGGTAGCTTGCAATGCTTTGGAGTATTTTTATTGTTTACTTTTAAAGTTAGGTAGCATTTTTGAGAATCGCTGGTTTTAAATTTGAATATAATAGGCTTCTAAAAACCGGGAATGATCAGGAAGAGTCTTAATTTCATTTAATAATATAATAGTGATGAAACATTTAAATAGTTTATAGAAAACTTTTGTCTTTTAGTTTCTGGAAAACAATTTTACAAGGGCTTAAAGTTGGGTTCTTATTCCTTGCTTCTTTTCACTTGGGAATTATTAAGGGCCCTTCACAGGATCACATACCAGTAGTATCTGTCCAGAGGTTTATGAGGAATAGCTTCCTTTAGGTATTTAAGAACTATATTGTGCTAGTCAGTTTGGATTTGAAAGAAATAAGAAAGGCAACACTAATTACAAAGACTTGAAGTGAGGTAATTTTTAGACAGTTACTTTTCAAATTCTGTGAAAACTGCTATCTTGGCAATTATACGTAGGCACGTGATTTCAGAGTTTCAAGAAAAGATTATTTGCATAATCATGATACTGTAACTAGAAACAGACATGTTGAGTAACAAAACAAGTTATGCTTGCTTCTCCCTGGCAACATTTTCAAAGGGGCATTAAACTTTAAGGTATTGACTGAAAAAGCCTGGAGGGGCTGGAAAGACTGATCTCCCAAACTTGGCTTTTACCCTTACTCTCTTGATCAAGTGCGTTGTATTTTTCTATTTCCTCTAACTTTTCAGGATCCACTGAACGTTGCCACTAGTAGCAGAATTTGTAGTTTGAACCTAGTGTGATTAATAATATTTGGCATCAGTTTAGAAATTTCCAGAAGTCTTTTAAGCAATTAATGGGTTAATATTCTCCAGTTGTAATAAGATATAATTGCTATTTGTTTTTCGTATCAAGAGTTGATATTTCACGGACCAGCCCCATGGCTTAGCGATTAAGTGTGCACGCTCCGCTACTGGCGGTCCGGTTCCGATCCTGGTCACCCACCAACACACCGCTTGTCTGGCCATGCTGAAGCGGCGTCCCACATACAGCAACTAGAAGGATGTGCAACTATGACATACAACTATCTACTGGGGCTTTGGGGAGAAAAAGGGGAGGAAAAAAAAAGAGTTGATATTTCAGAACGAAAACCTCTATAAAGACAATATAGGGAACTAGAGGTCAAATTGGGACCTGGCAGTACATTCAGAAGTCAAATGTCACTTTCGTTCTTTGACTTGAGACATCATGTCTTGGGGGACAGGGGAAGCCCGTGGCATCTTCTTGCGGAGAGTGATCTTCATGGAAAAGCCAGACCCTGACACATCTTAAATGCTACAGCAGGAGGAAAACTTCGGATTCACTTCTCATATTGGTGGCACAATGTGTAACTTAGCCGCAGGACAGCTGGTTTTTCCTGATTTTATGCATATCTTTGTAGACCTTCAGGGGAATTCCATTATCGGTGCAAAAATTGGTTGCGGTTTTAAGATTCTACTCACCATACAGTTCCTACTTTTATCCCACTCCAACTTTTTCCACTTGACTGCTTTCCTGGGTCCTTAGTCAGTAGTTTGAATGCTAAACAAGTGGAGAATTTTAAGCTAGAAACTGATGGAAGCTATTTTAAAGGAAAAAAAATCCTGAGAATTTCAGTGGGAATAGTACTTCACAAAGAGACAACCAATCAATCGTAGTTCAGGCACGCTGTCCCGCTGCATCAGAAGGGCTTAAAGGATTGCTTTTCTTGATATAAGTAAAAATCTTCCAGAAAACAAGAGGAAAGGAAAGGGAACCAATACTTGTGCCCTCATGTGCTCAACATTTTACATGTGTCCTTTCTTTTAATCTTCACAGTAACCTTTGAAGTAAGGAGCATTATTTCCGTTTTATAGAGGAGGAAACTGAGGCTTAGAGAAGGAAAATAATTCAACCACAGTTTTACAGCTTTCTGTGCAGGGCTATCCAAATCTGGCTAACACTGAAGCCTGTGCTCACCACCAGCTCCATTTTACAAATGAGGAAACTGACGCTCAGAGAGTTTAAATAGCTTGCCCAAGGCCACACACCTAATAAGTAGTGGAACACTAGGATCTTAATTTAACAATTAGAAAACATATCTCCTTTAAAAAATAAGATAGATAGACAGATAGAGGTATCTATACATCTAAGCCCCTGAATTAGATATTTATTCATTGCAAGCAGTTAGAATGGCCAAAAAGCCCTAAGAGAATTGTTTGCCTCTAACTACACCCTAGACCCTATACAGGGTCTCTCTTTGTCTAGATACCTTATTTCAGTGCTAATACTGTCCTTGTGATCAGATTATTCAGTGGGAATTTATATACACTCACCAAGATCATAACTTTGTGTTCTCTAGATGTTATTGAGAGGTGAAACAGGTGTACCTAACCCAGACTGACGCCCTGCGTAAATCAAGCATTTACACAGACAGGGTTTAGAATACCTCTTGTGAAAATTGCTTGCTAAGTAGGTCAGGTCACAGTATTTGTTAATAGTGAGAATTCCTTTTCTCAGAATCGCTCTCTCTTACTATAAGGGAAACTGAAGTGGGTTTAGTTCTTCCTAAAAAGAACTGTGCTGTATTTATTCATCTTTTTCTCTGCTGGTTTATTTATTTTGAACCCTGTTTGTTTCCATTGCTTTAAGATCAGTGGCGTCTTGTTCCTTTATTTTTTGAAGATTCTAACACTTTGAAACCTTTTCTACTTACCACCCAAACGCAGTGTAAGTTAAAGATATTTGCAGTGTGGTCTGATTCACCCAGTTCCTTATAGTTCTGCGGCTGTGGTTTTTAGTGGGTTCCTATGACTGTTTCCTGCTTACTCATCTTAAAAAGTTTCATCTTCATGTGGTCTCTGTTTTGCTTCGGTCCCTTCCTCTTCTTTAGAGCCGCAGGTGGTTTTTCCTCCTGATTAGCATATTTGCGCAAATGGACACTCTTTTTGAGAAGTCTCCAAGAACTCAGTCAAGATTAGATCAGTGTTTGACTAAAAAAAATATTCAAGCCTTGGCAGGAAGGGAAATTGAGGTGATTACTGAGGCAAGGTCTTTTTAGATAACCTGCAATTCACTTGCCATTTCCAAACAGCACACTTGAACTGTGTGCAGCATTGTTTGAATTTGTAACCCCTCCAACTCACCTGGCTGTTAATCTGCCTTGGGAGGTAGGTGGCTGGCCATTCTGATTATGTATCTAGCAGGCTTTGGAGTAAAGAGTTCCCAGAGCTGGTAACTGGGAGAGCAAAATATTTAAACACACACACTGAAGATGAGAGGGTGGGGGGAACTTGTAACTGAAAAAATACAGACCAAAACAGTTTTGACAGTTTAAATTTATTGTAACTCTATCCAACAAAGGAAACAGACTTGGTTTATCGGCAGGGGTTTTCAGCTCCACCCTTTCATGGAGGAGAACGATAAGCTAGTTAAGGCTGGGGTTGTTTGGATTCGAGAGATGCATCATTGTGAAATATTTCTAAAATGGGGCCCATTTTTGGAGTCCACAGTTACTCAGAAAAGTCAGTAGCATTAACTGAGGGAGAAAGAAAAGTTGGGGAGAAAGGGCCTAGTGATTCAGAGGAGGATTGGAACTCCAAAAATTCTTCATAGCTTGCCAGGAATGAAGTTTGTGCAGACGTTTAGAATACAGAGAAAGGGAGTCGGTATCTACTTAAACATTAGCTTTCAGCTTACCAAACATAGGCCGGGGAACAGGTGCTCATCTTGATCCTCGCCACCACACGGTGCGATGGATACGTTATTACCTCTATTAGGCAGGGGGGTGGCTCTGGGCTGCTACAGGTGGAGTCATTGTCCGAGGTCACCCAACTAGTTGATGCGGGAGGCTGGATCGGATGGAACCAAACACGTTATCTGTGGACCCATCGCCTTGCCTTTTACCCACTAAGCGGCAACGTGATTTCACGTCTGAGAGTTTCTTGGCCGATCAAGTTGGAAATCACTGGTTTCAGAGATTAGAAATCACTGGTTGTGCGTCCCTGGGTTCCTTCCCCAGCCACTCGAAGCTGCTCGGACGCTCTTGGCCCCGACGTCCCTGTCTGTGCAGGGCACAGACATCACCGTGGCAGGCGCCACTCCCCCCGCGCAGGGCTGCAGGCTCCTCGGGCCTCCGCGGTTCGCCGGCGGTGGGGAGAGCATCCCGAGCGAACTCTGGGCGGCGTGAAGGGCTGCCAGGGAGAAGACTGTCCTTACGTCCACAGCGCGCTCGGCGCAGGGGAGCAACCTCAGGCCGCGGCAGAGCACCGGTAATGACAGGGCCGGCTAGGTTCAAAGGGGAGCGGTTGTCCTGGGAGCAGAGAGTGTGGTTGCTAATGAGTAATAAAAAAATCGGCGGGGCAGTCCCCCCGGGGCCAGGCCCGGCCGCGCTCCCGCGTCCCTCCCCGCGCT